GCCCCGTCTCCGGGCCGGGCGGGGTCTCTGTGTCCTTCCCTCCTGTTTCTCCTGAATCCACACGGGGTGCCCAAGTCGGTGATCCTTGTGGCTGCTCTCAAAGAATGTCTTGTGCTTAAAAAGAATCTCCTTAAAAAAAAAATCTGGTCTGCATGCAACAGTTTAGAATGGCTCATATAATGTAGGGAAACACTGACTCCTTTATTATAAGACCTGATCCTGGTCCCGCTCGGATCCCACCGCATGGAGTCACGCTTGGAGGGCGACGCTGTGACACCGCCTGGTAACCAGCGGCGTTCTGCGAAGGGGGCAGACTGGATTTTTTTGTTCTGATTGATGACAGATTTCTGAGTGGGTTTGAGGTAATTTGCTTCCATCATAGCCTAGTCGTCCCGGGCAGGAAAGTCTGTGTAGGAGTCCCAGCTCACAGAGCGTTCTGCTGTAAAATGAGCCCTAAGGCGAAGGGCAGAGTTTCTAAGGGCCAGATATGTTCCTTCCGCAGAGCTGGGAAGTGCTTTATGAGTGGAAACTGGAGACTGAATTTTCCAGAATTTTAACCTATCCCCCCAACACATGGGGGATATACACTTTTGTTTGACCTAGGTTAGGAGCTGGTACTTACACGATGGTTCTGAGCGTGTCCTTTTGGGTTATGGCAGGTTCCTCCGTGAAAAGATTTAGGGGTGGTTTAGTCTTTTCAGGAGGATTGAGGCGGGAGGGAGAGACAGCTTTGATGCTTTTAGGTCTTTGGGGATGGAGGTCTGTGGTGGCCAGGACAAATGCCCAGGGGCTCTGAGGGTGGGAGAAGGTGAGTCCTGCACCACTTCTCAGGTGCATCCTGGACTCCGGGTTGGGTGGGCCCAGGGCAGCCTCTTATCACCTCCCGCCTGGGAAGCCTGACCCCCGGACCCATTTATAGGGATGCAGATTAGCTCCAGATAGGACTCGGCCCGTAAAGAGAATTATTACCTAAAAATCAAGGAAGAGGAAGTTATAAACATGTGACTGGGCTTATAAATTTTTCCTGGCTCGGCATTTGGTGGAATTAATTTGTTAGTGTTCAATAAATCATTATGGATCATCATGTAATAGAATCTTAGGCTTGTAATGCTGCTTAGACTCTTGGAGGTGGTCTCAGGGAGAGTTCAGGTGGGGCTGTCCCTGTGCTCCATTGCTCTTCTCTGCAGAAGGAGTGGAATCAGACCATGCTGGCGGGCCTGGGGGTTGGGGTGTCTCTCTGGGCCTCAGTTTTTCCTCTTGTGAACAATGAGGGGCTGGATTAGATGATTTCTAAAGCATTTTCCAGCTTTCGTGTTCTGTGACTCACTCTTCCTTTCCATGCCATCTCTTTTACTTTCTTTTCTCTATTTCTTATAAATCACCAAGACAGTTGTCCTTAACAATTTTGGGGTTATGAATTTATTAGAAATCCTGGTGAGATGGTGTCGACCTGCTTTCTAGAAAAATGCCCATGCAAACAAAATTTTGCTTTTCACATCAGGAGGCTCCTGGAGCACAGACTCGACTTTACGAACCTGGACTAAGGGGCTGAGCAAGATGCTGAGGAATGGGAACATCTCGTTTAATTGACAGATCTGCAGACCCCAGTCCTCTGGCCTCTCTCGCCCTCCTCTACGCAGCTCATTCCTCAAGCAAGGGGAGAATCTCCTGACTTGCCTTCAGGAAAGATCCGTAGGAATCTGTACCCGGCTCAGTTATTTTCTGGGGGGTGCTTGGTGGTGTCGTTTCATTTCTCTCACTGGGTGCCCCTCCACAATCTGTCCGTTTTCATTTATAAACATAAGGGACCATGTTAGAATCTGGGGCGCTTGGGGTCCGTTCACTTTTCAGATGAGGAGAGCCTCAGAGCAGTTCAGGTGACTTTGCTGAGGTCTAATTAGAGAAAAGCCTTTGCTGGAGTCTGTAGTTTCCAAATTGAAGTCCAATTTCTATTTCCCACACTTTGCCCCTTTTAAATCCACAAGTGGGCAGCTGGGCTTATTGGGTGAAAAAGTTACAGTTGGCCCTCGTCAGACCTCACCTCTTTCTCCCTGGGACCTGGACCCCCTTTCCAAGCCCACAGCCACCTCCAGTGTAGCTGGAGTTTCCAAAACACGTATTTCTTACTTTATGGACCACGTGACTCTGGATGTGACCATATGCTTGGGGACTTGTGTCTTGTCACTGCTGACTGTTTCAAACTTGTTTGCCTGAAGAGGTCAGATTTTAACTGGAAGAATAGAAATGTATTTTTTTGGGGGTGGGCGTCTGTCCAACTGCCTAGGGGATTTCCACCCCTTTCTTGTAAGTGTGGGCTGTGAGTCGGCCTGGCGTGATCGCTCTCTCTCTTTCTCTGGGCTGTCGGGAAAGCTGCCTGCTTTGGCAAGAAAGTTCTGCCAAAGGATGTCTTTGGGTGCCTGGAATGGCGAGGTCCCCAGATTCTGTGCCTTTTAGAAGAGTCTAGCCCAGCTAACTTCACTCTGTTCTGCAGCCACAGTGGATTTCCGCAGTCTTGTCCACTGTCTCCCAAGTGGTCGTATACGTTCCCGAGGAAGAAAGTTGGGACAATAGTAACGATGTCTGTTGTTCAGAGAGAATGTTCCAAGGTCCAGGCCCTGTCCTGGGTGCTTTCTGCATGTCGTCTGAGTCCTCATGACAGTGACTCCAAGTACCGACAGTTAGCCCCACGTTTCAGCCAGCGTCGCTGACGCACTGAGGCCAAGTGAGGATCCAAGGTCGCCCAGCTGAGAGATGGCGGCACTCGAATGGGACCCCAGCTGTGTCTCATTCCCAAACTCATGCTCTTATCACTAAACCAGCTGTGAAGGAACAATCTGGAAGGGATAGCCTTGAGGATTTCCTCTTTCTTGGAGAGCACAAATGTCATATTTGCTCACTTAACAGTGCTCAAACTGGACATCACCTAGTGGAATTGGCTCTTGGATGATGGGCTGCTCATTGAAGGGACCTGAAAATGTAAAAGTGATTTTTCTTCATCTTGTGCTAAAAATGGAAAGATGCTGTTAGATGTGGCTGTGTTTGCCTGAACTGGAGTGTGGGGTGAAAGCTGGAAAGAGCACAGCCGGAACCTTAGGTGGGGCCAACATCTGGCTGGCGGGCAGCTGCAGATCTCCCAGGGAGCTTGTAGTTTCCATTCAGGGGTTTGTGGTCCTGGAGGCGAGCCTTGTCCTCTCATGGCAGGTGGCCCAGAGTTCCTGGAGCTGTGGGTTTCCCCCACGCGGCACCTGTGTCGTGACTCTCTGATTTTCCTGTTAGCAATTCTTGGCTAAGGCCATGGGTTGCTGTGATTAATGAGACAATATTTGTAATATCACGGAACATTTTCCTTCTTTCCAAGGATGTGTGACAGGAACGGCGGCCGGCGGCTGCGGCAGTGGCTGATCGAGCAAATCGACAGCAACATGTACCCAGGGCTGATTTGGGAAAACGATGAGAAGAGCATGTTCCGGATCCCTTGGAAACACGCTGGCAAACAAGATTATAATCAGGAAGTGGATGCCTCCATTTTCAAGGTAAGGACTTGAGCCCCCTCCCCCGGAGCGAGCGCAGTTTCTGCCTCCCTCGGCGGCTGGTGGAGGTGTGGGGTGGCGTCTTCTTATAACCTTGAAAATTAACCCACTTGTTTTAAACAAGCATTGATTGAATGCTGAATGTGTCTCAAAAATATTTTTTGGGTGATTTTCCATCTGTTATATGATTTAATCACTTTTAGGGTCAGTTGTATCATTGGCATTTTTCCAAGGAGGAAATTGAGGGCACTTCCTTCACCTCCCGTTTCTTTGGCACGAGGACTAGCAAATGCGGAGAGAAAATACTGTTTTGAGGCCTTTAGACTAAGACTTTATCCTCTGGGCTACCATCTAAATTCCATTTAGAATTCCAGGCAAGGTTTAAGTCATCATTCTTTCAAAGTTACTACTTCTGCTCAAATGGGAAAGATGCCGTCTGCCCTGACTTCTGGGCCCGGGTCACGTGGGACGTCCTGAACCTGCAGCACGTGTCTGAAATAGTCCTGCCTCCCTTGAGAGTAATAAGTCACCACGCATGGGAGCCTTGCTGTTTAGTTCTCCCACCTGCATCGTGACAGCCAGCGCTGCGAGCTTGCTCTGTGCCGGGCCTGGCCCTGTGTGTTTTGTTTGTTCTCCTCTCACACGGTCCTGTGCAGTAGGTGCCGGCCTTGTCCTTGTTCTGTAGAGGCACCGAGAGAAGTGACTTGTCCAAGATCTCACAGCTCTTGGATGATGGAGCCAGCATTTGAACCTAGGCAGCCTGACCATGAGCCTCTGCACCCAACCCCTAGCGGTTCTGATGAACAGATTTCTTACCGTTACATCTAGATCCAGGCTGAGGAGCCAGGAGCCAGGGCAGCCCAGCTCTGCAGCCCAGCCAGGTCATCACAGTTCCTGGTGGGTCATCAGAATCCCATGTGGGTCCTCAGAGTCCCCTGTGGGGCATCAGAGTCCTCTGTGGGCTTCTGTAAGGCTCCAGAAGCGCAGGCTCCACCCTGGGAGGTTTGGGACCCTTGGTCAGGGGGAGCCCAGGCTTCCATGTTTGCAAACAGACACAGCCCAGCTGGTCTGACTCAGAGCCGAGATTGCAAACTGCTGCTGTGTGTGCTTGTTCTGTGGGCATTTGGGGGCTGGGGGTAGAGAGGGCAGAGTGAGTGTGGGGGACAGGAGGGAGGCTGAGTTGTGGAGGGCAAGAATTAGACCCAAGACCATGGATGAGTGAGGCGGGCCGAGGCGTGGGGGACCCAGTGCAGTGCCAGACTCTATGCCAGGGACGACTGTCTTCTGATATGAAAGAACGAAAATGACAAAAGATCATACCTTAGCCCCAGAGTAGAGCATGAATAGGGCAAAGTTGGCTTACGAGGCATTTCAGGCCTTCAAGTCTCTGCCGGACATTTGCAATGGGGCTGCACACTTTAGCAATTCTGTTAATTCTGTAATCCGGGGTCACGGATCTCTTTGAGAGTCTAATGCCAGTTAATGGCCCTTTCCAAAAAAGATGGGCACATACGAGTGTTTTGCACTCACCTTCAAGGGGCCCCATGTGGCCCACACATCTGGCAGGTTTCTTCCCATCAAGGACCCGGGGCAGGAGCCTGGACACTGCAGGTTTTTGCAGTGCTGGTGCCTCCTTTTTCGTTCTTGGTGGTGTTCTGGAGTCCTCTCTGGTGGAAGGTTTTTGCCTCTGGCATCATGGTGGACTTCTCTTGGGAATGACTCTGGCTAAATTCAAACAGTGCCCAAGTCCCACCCAGTTGGTTGCGAATTCCAGATTATAGACAGCTGTAAGCCTGGGTTCCTCAGCCTCAGCGCTGTTGACGTCTAGGGCCAGATACTTCCTTGTTGGGGGTCCGTCCTGTGACTGTAGGATGTCCAGCAGCATCCTTGGCCTCGACCCACTGGATGCCAGTAGTACCCTCTCCCCTGTGTGACAACCAGAAATGCCTCTGACATTGCTAGATGCCTCCCCCGCCAGGGCCACACTGTCCCCTCCCCATTGAGAACCCCACCGGGAGCTGACCATGGCCAGGATGGACAGCTGTAAGCAGAGGCGTGGGGTGCTGAGGGCACAGTCGCAGGGCGACCGTCAGTGAAGCCTTTAGGAGGAGAGCAGAGGGGCTGGACCAGCAGGCTGCATAGCCCTGGCTCCTGGCTTGCTGGCCGAGATGCAAGGCCTCTCCCTGCTCCCTGCCCCTGCTCCAGCTTATGCTGTGGAGGCAGTGAAGTAAAGCCCCAGATTTGTGCACTTATGCAATGTGCTTCATGGCCGTTTCAACAGCGTTGAGAAAAATGTGCAAGATTCCCAATGTTTCCGTTGATTACGCAGTCGCTCAATGTGGCAATCTGAAATGAGTCTACAATCTCAGCAGGAATGGGGCGGGAGGGAGACACGGGTGCCCACCCAGAGCTGAGCGGCCGCGGGGAGGGCAACAGACTGGGCTGGTGAAAACACAGATGGGAAGGACCATGTGGCACTTCCCTGAGTTGCGCTTGCTCGCTTCATCCTCGGGGGCGTGTCTGTGCGCCGCTGAACGAGTGTGTCTTTGCTGTTGGGAGAAGTCAGCCGTCATGCCTTGGTTAGATGGAGCCATCTTAGGGATTTCCGGTTAATAGAGAACCATTTTGTTTCCAACAGTCATAGAAAATCTTTCATTTATGAGTTAAGAAAAAAATAGTCTGTTTTGCTGCCTTAGTAAGTGGATCATGAGAAGCCACTTATACCAGAGGATCCTTCATTGTCTGCAGCATCATTCTGAGGTCAGCTTCCTGGTGTAGACCAGAGAGGGGAGATTGAAAAAGACATTTAGCTTGAATCACTATGTTGTACACCTGAAACTAATATAATACTGTATGTCAATTATGCTTCAATTAAAAAAAAAGGAAACAAAGACATTAGCTCATTGTGTACCATCCCTATGTATACTGTTGGGGCCCTAATATTGCTCATGTTTGTGTTTGAGAAAGTATTTTGCCTCCTTGTCGTAAAGTTGAGGGGTAAGGTCTGGTTGACCGAGGTTCTGATTCCCTGGCTGTCTCTCCTCTCACTGACTGGGCATCGTGATAGGCCTTCATGAACCAGACCTGACTTAGTAGCACAGATATTTCAAATTCAGTAGGCCTTCGAGGAAAAAAATAGCATTTGATTTTTAAAACACAAGATGAGACAATAATGTTCAAGCAGGACGAGTTGGTGGTCCTGGTTCGTGCTGGCTGCTGCTGAGAGTGCAGAGCAGCACACGGACAGGAGACGCGCGTCACGGTGCAGGCTGTTTTGGGGGGCCTCAGGATCACTCTGTTCTGTCTAGTGTTGGCTCTAGAAGGGTCTTGAGAAATCGGCCAGCTAAGCTGATACTTTAGAGCTGGCCAGAGAGCCCCCAAAGGGCTCAGGGCAGGTGGGAAGCAGAGTACCTGAGGCTGCCCAGGCGCTTCCTGAGCACGGGCCTCTTTCCTTTGTGGATGTCCTGGCTGTCTCCACGGGGCCAGTGTGAGCCTTGAATGAACCAGCGATGACGACAGAGCCCCGGAGGCTGTGCCCACCCCGGATGAATACCAGCTGGTCCTTACATTGCCCCCATCCGTGCTCCTCAGGTCCATTTGTAATATGGATGAACCCAGTGGTTCTCAAATAGGGGTGTGCGTGTCACGATTTTACCCCCTGGGGACACTTGGCAATGTCTGGAGACATTTTTGGTTGTGACAGTGTGGTCGGGGTGCTACTGGCATCTTGTGGGCAGAGCCCGGGTGCTTTCAGACATCTGTCCATGCATAGGAGAGCTCCTACCCCAAGAACGATCCAACCCCACATGGCAATAGTGCCAAGGTGGAGAAACTCTGATTTCACGTAATAAAAATTTGAAATTACTGTTCAATGTGTACATGCTCTTATATTTCTTTGAAAAAAAGTAAATCAATACATGATCTGTGATGCAGTTAATAAATGATTGGAAAGGATTGAAAACTATTTACTTTTAAACATATTTCTACAGGGGAGTTTTGCATCTATGTCAGAAAAGGAAATGACTGCTCATGCTCATTAATAGGAATGTTCTTCTAGTTTCTTTACCTCAGGCAGAGATGCAAAATCTGAGCTCAGGGCCTCAATAGAGGAGAGAGCGCTGGCCCTGGGCTGTGAGGTCTTGTCTTACGTGCCGGGAAAGAAGCTGAGACTTTGCAATGGAGCCGTGACTCATGGGGTTATGGAGCTTCTGGAAGTGTGGCCTCTGGGCCACCTAAGTCAGAATCACTGGGATGCTGGCTAACGATGCGGATTCCCAGACCTACCCCACACCTACTGAATGAGAATCTTGAGGGGCAGGGCCCAGGAATCTGCATTTTCACGAGCTCTCCAGGATGTTGGCGTGTGCGTTGAGCTTGAGAACGCTTGCTGTAGGGAGCTCCATTGGGTTGGAAGTCAGGATAGCTGGCGCTTAATTCCAGACTGGGTCACCTTGGGAAAGTTACCTCTGGAATTGCATTTTCCTGAGTGAGGGCTGAGGATTCCCTCCAGATGTCATATTGTTTTAGGCTGGAAGACGTGTCTGACTTTGCTTAACACCGAAGGTTATTTTCACCTGACAGTAGGGACCTCCTAATGGGTGTGTCTGTATTCCAGTTTTGAAATCTTAAAACTGTTCACATCCCCATTTACATGTTTGATTTTTTTTTTTTTTTTTAGTACTGCCCCATTCTACATTTTGACTTTAAGTTTCCAGCTTTGAATTTCTGGTCCTGGTTCAGGCCCTAAGGTTTGGAGAGGTCAGAAAACAGAGCTGTGAAAACCCGACAGAGAGGGAGAACATTTCACTGCATTTTAAACAGCGCCCCGGGTGGGGGTGGGGGCAGGGAGGGTTAGAATAAATGCCAAAATGCAAAACAAAATTTCTATTAAAAGTAGCAGGGCAGTGGATGACCACATTCAGACTTTGCAAATGTTCCCTTTTCATGCTAAATTTTAGCTAGGGGTTGATTTGAAAAAGCAACAAGTTGTTCTTTGTTTTGAACATTCTAGTGAAACCATGTGCGACTTCCTCTTTGTGCTGCTTGACCTCAGGCTCCTCCTGGGCCTCTGGTCCAGGGAAGGCTTTGTCAAGAGGCAGATCCAACGCGCGTGTGCGTGTGTGTGTGTGTGCGTGTGTGTGTGTGCGTGTGTGTGTGTCTGTGTGTGTCTGTGCGTGTGTGTGTGTGTCTGTGCGTGTGTGTGTGCGCGCGTGTGTGTGTGTCTGTGTGTGTCTGTGCGTGTGTGTG